GTAAGTAAGTAACGTAACGTACGTAGAGAGAGAGAGAGAGAGAGAGAGAGAGAGAGAGAGAGAGTTTTAATAAAGCGAGAATTTCGCAGAATTACCAACCGTGGGGATGAGTTGTGAATCGACGGGCGGCTGAGGAGCGGCTGAGGCTCGAGGGCGTCGCGACGCCAGATATAACATCCGCAGCGTACGCGACGCTACCGAAGATGGGCACGCGGGACGCCTCCAGGGCTGGCCTCTGCCCACGCGAAACGCTTCGCGTGACGATGTCTGCGGATCGGACGCGCCACGAACCAGGAAATCAGTATAGCGCCAATGTCAGAATCTCAGGCAGAGGGTGGATAGCGATACGAATTTGGACGTCCCTGGCCGTCCGAGAACAGCGGTGAGAATTATATGGCTGCCTCCCACCGGCTCTCCAACCTTACCCAAGTAGCGCATAATCGTGGCTAGAATTAGTTTTTACGTTGATCCATCTGTCGATGGATATTCGTGATTTTCGTTTCGATCGAATCGTTTGTTCTTTGCTCTCCCCAATAGAATATTTTTTATGCAAATCGACGAGATTTGGAAAATCTTGATCTCGGATTTATTTATGACTCGGAGAAGCAGCTTGTCCACGGGTTCAACGGGTCGCTGGCTCATGCGAGTAACCAAATCGAGACATTGACGAGGAGACATAAAAATCGATTTAACGTAAATCGAGGATCTTGTTGCTTGAGAGTCGTGACTAAATGTTAAGTCGTATGGTATATGCGAAAGGAGCAGTGAATCGAGCATGTAAAATTATATAGTAAAATTATATTTCGAAACGTGAAAACTTTGTTGAATAAATAACGTTCTTCCAATTTGTATAGGTACGTAATAATTATTACATCGTGCTTTCGCGTTGTCAAATTGTTGTAACAAAACCGCTGTTGAAACGCGTAGAGGAAATTTTGTAGTTTTCGAAAAGACGAGTGAATAGAAAGCATAATTGTTTATCGTGTTAAATTTGTTACACTCGTCATTCCGATTGTGTACGAAAATATGCGCGCGGAGTTGGAATGGCGCGTTATTACGTAATATGAGTCTCTTCCAAATCAACGAATTTTCACAATTCGAGAAAATACATATTTCTCGTACACATTTTTGAAAATTTATTGCAAATAACTCTAATTTTAACAGTTTTGATTAACAGCATTATTTGTCCGCTTGCGTGAATGTGGCAAACTGTGCAAAACTGTAACTATTATTGGAGTTATTAGTGGAATTTTTAAGCCACTGTTAATGGTATCTTTTGTAACAAGATTCACTGTTCCGTTGTGTCTGACTCATGAACGATACATTTCACTTATTTTGAACATTCATTGTCAGTGAGCACGGTCAAATTTTCATCGTCCTCTTATTTTAAAATATCATTCAATATTTTCTTTTTTTTTTTTTTTCTTAACGATTCTTAACGAAATCAATTAAAATTAATTTTGTAATTTTTTTTAATAAAAATCATTGAGATTAATAAATTATCCATGAATGTGTTCATTAATTGGCAAAAATTATATAAAATTGCCAAATAAAAAAATTTGACTCGTCATTGTTAAGATTCATTCAAAATCATTGAATTATACTCACAAATCTGATTTCAGTAATTTCACGAATAATGCTTTTATTATGTCGAGCGTGCTATTTTAAGTATAGTGTATGTACTTAAATATATACTGTACGTATGATGAATATAACTGCAACATTTCTACGAGATATACTCTTTTTACTTGATATTGATAAACGATATTAAATTATTAATTATATTAATATTATGATAGTATAATTAATTCGATAATTATATAATCTGTCGCTAGTTTCTTAATCTCAATTGAGCGTAAATAAGATAACGTCCCTTATCAGAACAAAGTTAATTTAATATCTTTTGACAATTCAATTTGACAAATTAGTAACTTATTAGATATTTTATTATTATATAATTTAATATTTTTTCGATAATTCAATTACAATTATCGATATACGTACTCGTTATATATAGTTTATATTACAAATTAATTTTAAGATGCTATAGTAATAATAAAAGAATTATAAACGAGTATTGTTTACAAACTAAACCGATAACTTGAAACTCTTTGCATAATGAATCATCTCTCACGAGAACAAACAATTTTAACATTATTAAATTCATTATGTATACAAAGATAACAGAACTATAATTTATTAAATAAGCAATAATTAGGCAACAATAATAAAGCAAAAATTATTTTTAAACGATGTTGACGAGTTTTTCTATAAATCCACTGTATACATCAGTAACATATTATATTATTTCTTAAATTTTTGATCTTCTTTAATGATACTCTTTTACCTATTTTTACCGTGTCCAAAATATCAGTATTTCACAAAGATAAAATTATCTTATCCTCGTCTGATCGATAGTTAAGTTAAAAGTATAAGTTCTCTTTAAAAAATTATTTTTCTAAAATCTGTATCAAAATTTCTTCATTGTTAAAAAATAATTGCATAATTTTTTTGATTTCTTTATTCCACTCTAATGGAATAAATTCATGGTTAATGTATGGCGGACAACTCGATTCATAAATACAATTATCGTCGCGTTACGCGGCTACGAGACTTTTTACTTTTCAATTCACGTAAAAGCCCTTGAAATGAGTAACGAACATCGAGGATGACACGTTCTCGTGGAAGTGTATACGGAACGGTGATTGTCCGAGCGAGAGCCGAAGAAAAAAACTGGAGGACATTAGAGCAAAACAATCGATGCAAGGACACGCTTGTTGTTACGAACCGAGAATGTAAAACTGGTTCGTCGGATGAGAGAATGGGATAGTTGGTAATAATAAGCAACTGAATCGTTAATTTCGACCAACTATAAAAATGATTGGCAACAGAATCAATCAAAATTTGCTTATAGTTTTAATTCGAAGAATATTACGCATTCCCAAACGTTTTATAATATTGTTATAAAACGAAACTGGATAATAACGAGAAAAAATTTTAAAGGAACAAGAAAAAAAATGTATTCAATAAAGAATCGAATGGTACGTGAAAACTGATTTGATAATTTGTATATCTTAAGTTATTGCGAGAAAGTAATAAATTGTGACTTTTCTTTTTTCAGAAAATTGTAAATAACATATTAATTGATGGGATTTTTTTTTCTATGTATATCAATTATAATATATTGTAAATATCAAAGACAAAAAAAAAGGACAAAAGGATATTTTATAATTCGATATACTCGATGCAAAATGATAAATTCATCGATACGAAGAGCAAACATAGTCTGGTTACGAATATGTTGTAAACGTTGTTCGTACTGGAGAAAACATTAAATCGAAAGGGTGGGGGCAGTGCATAAAAGTTAGACGTATCTCATGGTTCGACATCACTCGATGAGTGTTCACCGGACGGTAGGCAAGTTTTGTTACGCGAGGGAACAGTATTTGCCTAGACTCGTGAAAGTTGCTCCTTGACCGATTGTGGTAGTTGGTCAACTGTTTTATTAATTCGTCGAACTTCAGCGTCGAACATCGAAAGGAAATGTTACGCTCGTAAGTATGGGAGAAAAAAGACATTTATTATTTTTAACTTGTTTAAACAAGTTTAATTTCGATAATATTGCAACAATTGTGACAATTATGGATTAATGCGAATAAACGCATTTTTATAATATATAATTCGTAAATATGAAACAGATTTTTCATGCAATTTATATTTTTACCATATTTTTACCATATTTTTGTATAATTTAACTTAAGTTACGATTATTGATTAAATTTTAAATACGTACAACTTAATGAGTTAATTTAATTAAAAGAAAATTTAATCATAGTTATGTCAATTATCGAAATTTATTCTTAATAATGATCAGATAACATCTACTTTGTGAAAGAAATCTCTCGTTTCAGTGATTTAGAAGTAGTTTAAATATTAAATTTGATTTATGTATCTTTCTATACATACAATTATATTTTGTTTTTATTAAATTCATTTTAATTAAGAAATAGAATAAGTTTTTTTTTAAATTCTTTTGTATAAGATTATTGAGAGATGGCAAAATTGTAATATTCATGCAACACGTTTCTACCATATCATATTTTACAATCAAACAAAAACATAATCGCATACTTTATTTATCTTATTAATTTTTTTAAAAAATACAGATATGAACGAAACGTTTATATTTATCTATTTTACCACTATTATGTTATTTTTTTATTGTTTATATTTCTTTAACAATATATCGATCGTACGAAAATCAATCGAAATGAAATGAAAATTTTTACTAATCGTAAATCGTAAATACTATACACATTGCTTATGTATTTAGTTTTAAACGAAACACAAATTTGTTTGGAAATTCTTAATAACTTCATTATTCTTATCACGTTACAATATTACACAATTGGTTGTTAAAAGCAATTATCTTATTTTAGTTGATTGAAAAATACAAAGATCACGGATGGTTAAGGCATTATGGTCTGGTGCATGATGCGATATTATCGTTCAATTATCATAGGCATATTATAACGTAATAAATGCCATTATACATTTGTATCTCTAAATTTTTTTTTCTATTTGTAATTTTTTTTCTATTTGTATTTTGAAAAATTTCAAGATTTTTTTTTTTTTATAAGTTCTATTGCACATCGTAACCTCTCAAAAGAAGTCGTAAAAATTGTTGGAAGATCATTTTACTGTTATTTTTATCTGCAATTATTTATGTTAAACATTGTAACGTTATATAAAATTTTGCAGACTGTTGGTGGCGTTACTTGTATCGCTAATATGGGGAATATCAACATCTCAGGATACGAATAAGACTGATAACCTGATAAAGGCTAAAGAATTTCTAAATAAACTCGACAAAGAATATGCAGAATGGAACAATAAGCTAACGCTCGCTGAATGGAAATATGCATCGAATTTGACTAAAGATAATTTAGAGGATAAATTGAATGTATCTTCAAAAGCGGCACAGTACTTCAAATCCTCATGGCAGGAAGTGAATCAATTCCCGTGGAAAGATATTAAGGATGAAAGCATCAAGAGACAATTCTCAAAACTTAGCGTTCTAGGTTATGCAGCACTCCCCGAAAATGTAAATATCTCTGAAATTTTAATAAATTAAAAACTTTAACAAAATCTTTAAAATAACATTAGAAAGTGTGATATTTAGATATGAAAAAAGTCACAATAGTT